AATACTCGATGAGTCAATACCTGTCATAAGATTCAGGTAAAGGCTAAAAGCCAAATTAATCTGTCTGCGGTATCATGAAATTTGTGGCATTTCAATCTAGAGCATTTAGCCGCTTTCAACGGTATAATCACTTAGTCTGAAGCCACAGGTGTGACTTATGCCACTTCCGTATAAAATTGGGCTACAGCTATGCTATCTTACTTTCCCTTCTTTTCGACAGGTAATGTTTTACGCTGCACCACTACTATCCGTTGAAACTGCCAAATGGTCAATGGCTGCAGCCATTGCCTATGATTGCTTAACAAGCAGACATCCGTCCATGGAGAGAGCAGAGGCAATTACAGTTGCCTCATTGACATGTACTTTGGTCAGAAGCGCCGTGGTCAATGTACTCTTTATCGGTGAGCCAAGATTTAATTTATAATACGAAAATAAATAGAAAAGAGAAGACTGAAACAAACAAAACCAAGTGATACCGTTGAAAAAGTCTCAGTTAATTTTGAGTTGAAATAGCACACCGAATAACGATTACTGGAGGCTCTAAGCCAAAATATTGCACTTTTGGAACTGAAGAAGAAGGTTCCATTTAAAATCTTCGAAATTAGTCCTACAAATTTATGAATATTAGTCAGATTTTTATTGCCTTATCCTGATTGATGGTGCCAATAAATGCACCATCAATCATTAGAGAAAATCAAAGATTATTTAAATATTAGCGATTTACATGTATTTAACTTTTGAGGTTAGAAAAAAAGTAATTACTGCATATTTTATACAATTATTGAGTTCTCGTTGTAGAGGCATTAGGTAGTTTTTTGGGGAGCAGGAGATATGGAAAATTAACAAACGTCTTCGCCGGGAATCGAACCACGGACCTCTGGAATACCGCTCCAGCGTGCAAAACTACTACACCACGAAGGCACGCTAGGAAGGCGGGAGAAATACCTTAGGGGGGAGTATATAAGGTATACCGTCTGGCAGCTGCAGCCCAATTTTATACGGACTAGGATTTTCAGGGGACCCAAATGCCAAATCCTGGGTGTTGAGAATCCTCATCCAGTTATCCTTTTAGTTCGGGCGTCACTGTAGAGACATTAGGATTTCTGGAAGGGAGAGATGAAAAATTAGCAACGCCTTCGCTGGGAATCGAACCATGGACCTCTGGAATACCGGCTCAGTGTACAACTATTTACAAATAATGTAAATTACTTCTGTTCTATAAACTTATATTTAAAAGCATTTAAGCAATGAAGAATGTATATTAGTTTAAATACAAGTTTCTCAGCTACTGACTATCCCAATCCTGATCAAATTTCTTCATCTTAGAGTTGGTACAGATCGACTAATTTTTAGAAGTTTATAAGATATTTTTTCCCTCCTTTCTGCATGCCTTCGTGGTGTTAGAACACTCGGGGCGTATTCCAGTTTTCCAGGTTCGAGTCCCGCAGATGGCATTGCTTATTTTTCATGTCTTATGCTTCAAAAATAACAGCTAGAGCGGCTCTCTAACTAAAATGTGGTGGATGATGATTCTTCACCACTAAGATTTGGCGACAGGGTCTCCTAAACCCCAGTCGTCCTTTAAAAGGGGAACTATGTAAGGTATAATCTCCCTTTTTCCAGCATGCCTTAGTGGTGTAAGGGTTAGCACACTTGGCGCGTATTCGACAGGTTCAGGCTCGAGTGCTGGTGAGGGCTTTGCGCTTTTTTCACTTTTCCTGCTTCAAAAAACCTAATGACTCTACGTTGGATCCCGAACAGGGATTCGAACTTGGAGCCGTCGAATACGCGCCAACTGCACAAAGCGTTATACCACGAAGGCATCTTGGAAAAAGGGAGAAAATAATACCTCATCTATACATAAAAGAAAGCATTTTGAATTTTGCATGAAGTGAAAGTGTTTAATTTAATGATTCTCTTTCATCCAAAGCTTAAAGATTTAACTGTGCGTTTACACTAATAAAATGAGACGCAAATTGGTATGTAGAGACATTAGGATTTTTTCTAAGCCGGAGATTTGAAAAATAAGCAACCGCCTTCGCCGGGAATCGAACCACGGACCTCTGGAATACCGGCCCAGCGTGCAAAACTACTACACCACGAAGGCACGCTAGGAAGGCGGGAGAAATACCTTAGGGGGGAGTATATAAGGTATACCGTCTGGCAGCTGCAGCCCAATTTTATACGGACTAGGATTTTCAGGGGACCCAAATGCCAAATCCTGGGTGTTGAGAATCCTCATCCAGTTATCCTTTTAGTTCGGGCGTCACTGTAGAGACATTAGGATTTCTGGAAGGGAGAGATGAAAAATTAGCAACGCCTTCGCTGGGAATCGAACCATGGACCTCTGGAATACCGGCTCAGTGCGCAGAACCACTATTAGTTGTACCATTATTGTAATCAACAGGTTGCGTTATAATTGATTATTTCTATTGCAGGTTTCCCGTATCGTCGGATATAATATCGTCGCTACACTGTTGACAAAATAATATCGTATTTTTACTTCCTTTTACGAAGTAAAGGAAGTATTGAAATCGGGAAAATTTTCGGCACGTTTCAACGAAAATATTCATATTGGACGCGCTCGAATCAGTTTGAATGATTTTTTTTTTTTTTTTTTTTTTTTTTTTTTTTGCGTTAAATCTGTATGTAGGGATAGAATAAAGGACACTTTTCCCCAAAACGAATTGTAAAATGGGTTTAAAATGTATTCAGAAGAGATTTCTTTTTCCTGACGTCTCTACATACGTAGAGCGTTTGTATATATATCAAATAACTCTAGTAGTATATATATCAAATAACATGTTTGTATATATATCAAATAACTCTAGTAGTTTGTATATATATCAAATAACTCAAAAATGAGTAGCCTCAGAACGTTGAAAGTTTATATATCGGACTGCTGAACGCTGCTCAAGTGGACTGCCGCCCTTAACTATAGTAAGCCTTACGGTATTTGTTTCCACTTGGCAGATGCTGTCTAATCATGACTCGCTGATCCGACAGCATTTATTATTTCAAAATCTTAGGTTTCATAATCACTCATATCGGACTAATATCGGACTAATAATCATCACTAATATCGGACTGCTGTAACATGTAGTTGTGCACCTCTCTTTCCCTTTTCGATTGCAACCGGCCGCACCAAACATAAATAAATATACATATAAGTATACCCACCCTGTTATCTGGCTCTATGAGTTCAGTTTTTTTAATCTCATATGCTATTAAAGTGTGTATTTTTTGCTTTAAAAGTGGTTAAATTATGTTATTCTTATGTTCCGGTTAAGGTTTTTATGCCGTTAGTTTCTCTTCATGCAATACCTGCAAAATCATAAACAATTTAAAAGTGGTGCTAGGCCTAACGATGTCGCTATTTGTTTACATTTGAAAGTCTAAGTAGAATAGTGAATTAAGTTAGTTGGCGCTCAAACTTCAACGCTTTTTTACCCCCAGTGAGACCCAACATTTAACTTTCAGTTTTTTGCACACTAATTTGGTCGTTCTGCCCGCTAGCTAGATTGGTTGTTTTTGCTTAGAAAGTTTAACTGTAAAGTTTTTTAAAACTGTTTTTAACTGTATTTAGTATATTAGGTTTTTCTGTATTTTAGTTTTTAATGAAAATGTTTTGAGTTTTTATGTATTTTTTTGCCTAGCAGCGAAATGAGAAATGAATTGATTGAACGAGAAATATATTTCTAATGAAATTAGATGAAATAAGTTTAAATGAAGTGTAGAAAAAATTGGATATAATTTAATAGGCTTTACAAGGAAGTCATACGGTGTCCACATCAGATATTTATATCATCATATTCATAATCTTAAACAAATTAAGGAGCAAATATTTAAACCAAATGATTTTGTATGCAATATATGGTGTTTAAATTTTTTTTTGTTAAATACAATAATGCTGCAATACCGAAGGGCTCGGGCTCGAATCCCGGAGAAGGTATGGATGTAAAATTGTCTGTCCCTTCATAGGTGGTAGCGGTGGCCACGTATTAGGTGCGCCTACCAGCGGCCGAGCGGTAAAGTCGCTGAACACTGGTAATTTGGCCCGAGGTTCTAATCCCTCGAACGGGATGGCTGCATGGGCGTTTTCGTGGTTTTCCCCATGTCTGACGTGTATACGAGCCAGTTTTCCTTAGAAAGTCCTCCACGAAGGCATCGATCCCCTTAGGCAGATAGCCCTAGTGTGCTTTGCCGTAATTAAATAAAACCAAACCTATTAGGTGCTTCCATAGTAAAATGGCCACTACTACTGGTCTTAGTTGTGGCCATTGCCGATGCAGGTAAGTGCCCCCTCCCCCATTGGAAAGAAAATGTTGCAAATTTTAATAAAAATCAAATGGATTTATCAAAATTTAAATGCGATTTGAATTATATCAGTGAAGTACATCAGTGTATTTATCAGTGAAGTATATATATGTATTATATTTTTCAAAAGATTTTGAAGATTTTTAACTATTATAAAATATGTTTATTTCTTTTACAGTGCTCACTTAATTGAGTAATTAGAGATCGTTTTAACTTGAGAGATAAATATTTTTTTTTTCTAAATATCAGCATCGTACGATCACGTCATTTGTGTTCCACTTAGAAGATAAATTAAAAATCTTATATTCGCTCAATAGCAACATTTGGCGAAGCGCGTGAATAATAGATTCATGCAAGCGTAACATTACAGTCCACAATATTTTGGCAATTCACCTTAAGAAATTTGTGATGCCAATGTGTAATTGATTATAGAAAACTATATCATGGTTTTTCTTATGATGTATAAGAAGATAAAAAGAAATACCACGGTTTCGGTGCACTAGGAGCCAAAGCAGTGTTAAAGAAGGTTAAAATCCGCTTCTTAACTTCTCAAGATTTGAACTTCTTGGATCACGGATCTCTATTTTAATTACTCAGAGACTATCTGGCGCTGATCGCTGACACATTGGCTTTTCCACAAATTACAAAAGGAAAAGAAAGGGAACAAAAAAATCGCTTTCTACCTTTATTTATTTCGCTGTTCCCATTCCCTAGTGCCCCCAAGTGAGGCTTCCTGCTTCTCCCTTTTTGCAGAGCTCTTTAAGGTCAGTTTTGATACGCATGGATGCTGGAATTGGCATAGTATCCCACCTTTTGGCGACTTTAGTTTTTTTCCAAAGATAGCAGCTTCTTTTGGCGACAATTGCATGCTCAAATTTTTGCATAACTGCACAGGGAGATATGTTTCTTCTATAAAATAATTTCAGTAATTCAGATGATTTTTTCCTTTTATTTATTACAAAACACAGCAGTTAAAAAGAAATAATATATTTTTATGCAGAAATGGGAGAAATATATTTCTAAGACCTTTCATTACCCTTTGGAAATTTAGATATTGTCTAAGGTTCTTAGGTGCTTATAAAAATTAATAGCAACAAATTATGTCTTTAATGCACAGTCAGCCAATGTGAAAAAAGAATTTAGACCATTTGGATTCATTAAATATTATTCATAAAAAAGGATATATTACCATAAGTTTTTTCACAAATTGGTACAGGTTAAAATCAGTCATTTTACAAAACTTTTCAATAATAGCATACACACATTGACCTTGGCTTCGTTTCAGTACATAGCAAATACAGTATGCTTCGCATACATTAGAAGTGAAACTGTGTAATGGATTATTATTCCATTTCACATTTGAATAGTAAAATCTATAAACATCTGGACATTGTCCATAAGAATAAAAAAATTCTAATTCTTTATCTTAAAAAAATTGTCCATAAGAATAAAAATATTTTAATCCTTTATCTTAAAAAACTTGTTCATAAGAATAAAATAATTCTAATTCTTTATCTTTTAAAAAATTGTCCATAAGAATAAAAATATTTTAATCCTTTATCTTAAAAAACTTGTTCATAAGAATAAAATAATTCTAATTCTTTATCTTTTAAAAAATTGTCCATAAGAGTAAAAAAATCCCAATTCTTTATCTTAAAAAAAAAGGCTACCCAGTGCGCTCCGGCTTCTGTGGACTTGTCTGTATTCACAACGATTGTTGATCTTCTAATTGTCTATAGTCACAACGATGTAAGAAAATACGCAATTAATTAATATCGAGTGAAAAAACTCCTTTTCATGGTATTTTCGTGTATTAAAATTAAATATTCATGTATACTGAATACGAAAATTCAGAACAATCAAATTTATTGAATATTTCAACGTTCCTTCCCACCATTAATACTTATAAAGATGAGATTGATTTCTTTATTTGTAAAGAGCGATTCTTGCAAGGACTACTTTCAGTTCAGCGGTAATTGTCTGTTTTATAGCAAATTTACTTTTAAAAATGCATAGGTAAATATGGATGGCAGCACATAAATCATAAAAATCTATGAACTTGTGAGGAAAAGTTAAAGTTTTCACATTTAGGAAACTGAATACTTTTACTCATGAACTAAGCAAACTTTCTCCCTAGGTACTATCACAATTCATTAATATCCCAGTCTAGCAACAATCTAATGCACATCTGGGCATTCCTCTTTCCGTCTAAATAAATGATACTAAGATTGCGTTCAGACGGTGATGTAAATGTTACAGAGGTATAATCACAAGGAATAAAATGCGGAATTCCGTTCATACCTGCGACACAGAGTCTAAACCGCACCCACAGAAGCTAAACTTGCGCATGTGTGGATGTGTCTACAACCTCCCGTTCTGGTTTTCCATGCAGGTTTCGCGCGTTCGCTCTGACTGGTCGACTAGTTTTGCACGCTCACTCTGACTGGTGAAAGTCACTCTGACTGGTAAAGTTGAAAACTTCAAACTTTACGCCAAAAGCCCTAAACCAGATTTTCTGACGTAGCACGGACTGGTTGCCTGACAGTGCAGCTCAGCTTAAACCCACTTATGTCCTTTATACCGTCGTCTGAACGCAGCTTAAGAGCTCTCTCGTCCCGCCGAACCAGACCAGGGGTTCCACTCCAAACCTCGCACCTTGGAGAAGGGAGATGCATCGCTTTCGCGACACTGATCGTTATGAGTTGCTACCTGCCAGTCGCTCGGGCTACCCGTCGCACAGGAACATTACCCAGCTTACCCGGGACGTTACCTTCGGGCTACTAGTGCTCTCAGCTCTAGAACTTTCCAGATTCATGGGCCGACTAATGCGTGATCTTTCCAGGGCCTCCAAAACCACTAGGTTCATAATTTGTATACCAACTGGCCAAGGCTGCCTAGATACAGACCATAGCCGCTAGCTTAACAGAGTTATATGCGTCAATTTAGTAGTCAATCTAGTACAGTCTTTTGTCGCCACAGTACCTTCATAGGTGTATTGAGGTGTATTGATATCATTGTTAACCCGGTGGCAAGAGGATGGCCATTATACAAATGAAATTCTGTCGAACAATGAACCTGGTTTCGATCTCTGGCACAACAGTCCAAAAACTACAGATTCACAGACCATCCAACCGCCCAGACAGTATAGTGGTTAGGGTAGCCTGACTCCGTTACCAAAGAGCCCGGCTTCGAATCCGGCAGAAGGCATGGATGTAAAATTGTCTGTGCCTTCAGAGGAGGTAACGGTGGTCGCCTTTTAGCTGCCTCCTCAATAAAATGGCCGTAGTAGTGGCCAGTGCCGTTACAGACAAGTGCTCGCCATTGAGGGAAAAACACTGAACATCCATTGCAAGTCTTCCTTACTGTACTTTACTGAGATGAACTTAAGTGAGGGATCTCTTAAAATAATCAAATAGTTTAGCAAAAGTAAAATTAAAGTCTTGGAACAGTGACGGAAAGTTACTCGCTGTAGGATGATAAAAGTGGTACTGTGTTAGAAAATGTATCTACTATAATTAGTCCTTTTCTTGACCGTAAGTTAAAATAATTTACTTCAGAAACATTTAAATCATAATTTTCTTGTAAAACCATTCCTTTTTATTTATTAAATTTTTAACGTAATATTTCGATCAATTAGATTTTTAATATAGTAAATAAATCGATCTCTAAAATTTAAACCAAAATTAGACTCAAAGTAAAGAGAGTGTTCAGAAGCTTAATTTTCAAAAATGTTCCATAATAAATATAAAGTTCTAACTGTATTTCGTACATAAGTAAAAGGAGATTTTTCAAATTTTGTTGCAAGATCGTTGTTTATTATGATCCACAGAAGTTATATATTTGATTCATATACGATAACTAGATGAATACATGGGAACAGTCTAATGACAGATGAAGACTTTAAACTCTTAACATGATATACATACAGACTTGTGAAACCAGTATCTGAAAAATCCAATATCACTCAACACGCATGTTAGAACTTCTGGCCGTAGTAGGCAAATTCTAAAAATTATTTCTCGAATAAATAATATGGAGCTTTACCAATTTGGATCACTCTATCAAGTAAGGGAACAACATTTGCTACAGTAAGAAGATGATTTCATATGCAATAGCAATTTTCAAAGAAAATCTTTAGATTGGCAAATGAAAAGTGTCTGTGTGTATGAGTGTTTTTTTTCCATTTGCAAGTCAAACTGAGCAGATCACTGAATTCTGAACAACACATCACCTGGAGAAGTTGAGAAAGGACTTCAGTTCTATTCATAGACAAGGCTAGATTCACTCAATAGTCTGACTATTATTATGATCTGCGACAAGCTATAGCATAGACAGTACATTGTTATATCCTTTCTGAAAGCGAGTTAAAGTGGATGTAACACTGTTGCTTGCATACGGATCTCTTCGGGAGGTTAAGCCTGACTTCTCTTTATTCATTGGCTCAAAACGTTTACTAAGTCTTTGTTCAAAGTACTGCTAGCGCGTTCAATAATTCCCTTCTTTCTCTAAACCTCAGAAAACCGAAGCCTTCGCTAACTTGTATGCTTAAAATACGGAAACTCTCGTTTCCGTTCCTTATCCGTCCCGTCCGTCTCCCTCTTACCTGTCCATTAACGCACAAAGAGGTGTGAAGATTTCAAATGACATCCCTTCTGCTTCCTAACAAAAAAGCTTCCATTAGCCTTTTAGGACAAGCTGTCTGCAATAAATTGAAACAATGCATTTGGAGAAACTGCACCTGCTACTGCATAACTTAACGGAGAAGAAAACAACATTGCAATCGTTTCGGGCGGTTGTGGTCGTTTGAATGAAAGGCCATCTCGGGCGTTTTGACTTCCGAAGGGTTTTAAACGATAATGCCAGACTTCATTGCCTTTTGACTAAATATTTTCAAAGTAATGAGTGAAAAAGTGAGCAAATCTCTGTCATCAGGCTTTGCAGATTTATCTAGAAGATAACTGGATGTTTTCTTGCCTACTTATAAGTAAGCTGATGCGGGTTATAAAAAGCAGAAGCAAATAGTTTCGCCCATTATGGATATTTCTTATACAGCATTATTATAATATTGCTGCTGCTTACACTGCTGACGGACTCAAACTAAATACATTATTTCACTGCTGATGGAATCAGACTGCATAAAAACTGCCATAGTTTAAAGTTATCATCATTGATTTCGTCAGTGATCATCGTCATCGAACTGCCACCGTTATCAATCTCTTACCAGTTTGCCTCTCGAAAGATGGTCTTTGTTTGCATGCAAAGCTACTCTTAGTCACTCTTAATTCCTTTTAGTCAGTTAATTTTCTTCTAAATTAGTTTGACTTTACAGTTAGGACTGTCCGCAGCAAAATTTATATAAGTTTATGCACACCTAAAAAGAAAGTGTATAAAAACATTTCGCTATGAAGGAAATCAATTCATAAATAACGTTTTGTTGTTAAACCAGGAAACAAAAACTTTTGACACATCAAGTTAATTTGCATACGTAGTGTCATGATTTTAAATTTAATTTAATATGATAAATTTTCTCAATATATAAAAGAATTAATATGACAATAATATATCGTGTCAGTTATCTTAACCTGAAATAAAAAAGTTGATAACAACAGCTATTTATTTAAAATGCTCGACGTACAACAAACGAATACGATTAACAAAACAATTACCGAAAAATTCTCGACATAAAACAACGTCACATGCAATCACGTGCTTCCTCCAACGTCAGAATATGACCTTATATAGTAATAATATATTTAATGTTTGATAATGCTATTTGTTGAAACTATCGCCGTTAAAACTCCTATCAGCTACCACGTGATTTGCGCCTGCGCGCGACCAAAATAATGACTGAACGTCAGAACTCGTAATGGACGTTTAAGATATAAACAGTAACTTCTGCCTGTG